CATGGATCTTTGATGACTAAAATATGACGAGTCATGGGTTTGAGTTTTCCTCAACGAGACCAGACTAAATAAAAAATAGCGGTTCGACAGCCAGACGTTTAAAATCCATTATTGTGCTGTAATCTGCTAGAAAAGCCAAGCAGCATAAACCGTGCAGCTGCGTCCTGTTTTATCCTGCCGCCCACCTGCCACACAGCGTTGCACATGATGCAGGAGCACAGAAAGATCATGGCAGCAGCGGCTGAGAAAATAACCCGGATTGGTCTGGTACTGTGCCCTGAACTCTGACAAACTCTGATCTTCCCTCTGTGCTTGTGCAGAAATGCATCTTTGAGTACGGAGGTCAGAGTCTTCGCATTACACTCCACTCTGATGGTTCATTCTCAGCAGTTTGGCACTTCTTGCTCTCGCTACTTAATAAACTATATGTGGCTGATCATCCTCTGCCAAGCTTAAAATATCCCTTCGTCTAACTTTTAAGATTTTATTTCTTCCAGCTCACAAGAGGTGATGCTAAACATTCTTTAATTTCTACGCTTATAATCCCTAAATTATATCCAAAGCAAATATTTCATTGCAGTTTGACCCAGGTACAAAAGTACATAGATCTTCTCTATTATATCTATTTAAATATGATGTAAATGTTTCCTTGTATTGTCATTAAAACATTTTAGTTAACATATTAATTCAATTTAGGTCTGGGTTGCCATGGCATTAGGCAATTATGTAGGTTCTATCTGCAGTTTTCTACATCAAAAGCCTGTGAATTTAAACCTTATTTGACCCCTAAGCAGCAGGAACTGTGGCGTAAATTAAAGAAATAAAGCCAAATTTGCCAAAGTAGAAAGAAGAATGTTTTTGTTCTTTGCTTTTTTGGAGCAATGCAGATTTTATTGATCTGTGTGTAATGCATAATTCACAGTAGATCAGGAAATGTTTGCTTTGGGATGGAAACATTTTATGTTTAAAATCATTCCTTTATTGTACATTCTGTCAGCTTGTCTGTCTGCTATAATAATGAAAATGATGTGTTGAACTAGATCTGCTATTTTCACAAGTTATGTGAGACTTTTTTATAAAGTAGAGCATTAATTCATAAAAAAAAAACCTTTTTTGAATTCAATAAACTAAAGTTTTCTGCCCAATACCAATGATGATCTAGGATAGAGCTGTCAGTCTGGTTGAAAGAATCTGGTTGTTTTATTCCAAATTGTAAAGGCTTAGTTTTTTTTTTTTTGCTGTTTATATATGTACGTTTACAGTTTTTTCACCATGAACTTATTCAGACATTCAGTTTATCTATGATACCTGTGTGTAGACGTCCGTCCCTCTCTGCTGCCCCTCCTGGAACGAGGCTCTTTATGTAGATTCCACCAGCTTGAACGTTCGTGTTTACTCCACCCTGGATAGTTGAGAAAAGAATTACATGCATCTACTATCTACATGCTCCCACTAACTCACATTATAATAATCTGCAGATGACACACAGCTCATTTCTCTTTTTCTATTCAGTTTTACTAATTGTATTTTTTCATGTTGCCATTTACAGATAATTCTTTTCCCTTTTGGGGGCGGGCTTTCCTCTGGACTGAGGAGCAACGACGCATTTCCATTGGTCTGCAGGACCTTAGCAACAACATTTTATTGGCCATGAGTTAACATTTGGATTGAGCTGGAAGTGAAGAGAATGAAATCTGGAAAGTACTGCAATCATTAGAATTCAATCTGAAAAATAGAAATACAATATAAATATCAGACATCCCAAGGGATGCAGAGACAAAAAGCAAACCCAGAGTTTACATGTTACAGCTGTGGCCAGAAGGGACACAAAGTGTGACAATGTCCGACGAACTATAAAGGACAAAGGCAATGGTGAAGTTTCTGTATAAACTCCAGTCACAAAGAGAGTAATTGTTGAAGAAAGAAAGTGTGAAACTGTTGGGATTTTGAGATCTGCCCACCTTTCTCCAGCAGAGGGGGCCCTAGGTCTCTTGGAGCTGAAGCTGACTACCACACCGGCTGATTTGCTCATCAGGAGGAGCAGCATATAAGCAGTGGCAGAACTACTCTTCAGTGCCAGAGTGTTAAGCTAGCTACGGTTAGCAAGCCTGAGCCAACCAGCCTGCCTGATTCTCTGACTCCCAGAAAACCTGACTTGAACCTTTTCTGTCCTCTCTGCTTCCTAGGAAGAATCTGACTGAGACCCTGGAGCTCTGGAAGAGCTACTCAACTGAAACCTGCCTGCCTGCTCTCAGTAACAAACCTGAAGATCAAACTGTCTGGATCTGCCTCCCATCCTTCAAGAAGTAACTTGAAGAAGCTCTTAACACTCACAGCCTGAAGCTAAGTCCTGTCGCTGCCAAGCCCTCTGCCATCAATCAGTCTCTAGACACTCCTGGTTCCCTCCCTCTGCCGCTCAGCCAGAATCTCTGAACAGGTACAGATCTGCACATTCTCTCAGCTACCTGATCATTAGCTGCCTGGCTAACCTAACTGTCCCTCTCTGCAGAGAGACCTTGTGTGACCAGTCCCGGATCTGATTCCAGCATCTGTCATCTAACCTTGTGTTTATCATTGATTCCAGAATCTGTGAAACAACCTTGTGCAAACCCTTAATAAATTGTTAAACTTTACTCTGACTCCTGGGTGTTCTGCATGTAAAAATAGGGGAGTGCTGGCCTAGTGGTTAGAGCAGTGCGCTTGTGCTCTAAGAAGGTTACAAATGTTAGATCCCCACTGCCTCCACTCCTGAGAAAGGAGTGGAGGCAGTGGGGATCTAACCCCACACTGCTATCTGGGCGCTGCACAATGGCAGCCCACCACTCCCCATAGGGGATGGGTTAAATACAGAGAGAAATTTATCCAGAGTGAGATCAATAAAGTTTAGTTATTATTATTATGATATGCATTGCTTTACTTAACTATTTGAAACATTGAGTCATTTTATTTATTTAGCACTACATTAGGGTAACTAAAGCGGCTATAAGATTAAGATTATTGTATACAGAATACAGATAATTTTTCTTATAATAGATGACCAAACGAGTCTTTTAGGACTCCCTTATAATTTAAAAGGACAAAATAACTTAAATCATCAGCCGTTTTGATTCCAAAGCAATGTAAACATTTGTCATTGGTGTTAATGTCCTTGTTATAAACTCCCAGTTTAGATGAGCTAACTCTTGTCATCCTCGTCTAATCCTGTCAGATTGCAGATGTCAATCAGCTTAAGTGGAATCGTCTTTACGCCCCACTGAAAGTTTCATCCTATCGGGGAAAAACTTAAAACTCACAGAGATGCTGATGCCCAGACTTCCTGATATCTTCCTGAGCTCCACGGCGATTTCCTCTGGCCTCACAGAGTTCATAGACGGAGACAGAGGGCAGCCATCCTAACATAAAGACAACATGAAGACCTTTTTTATTACATTGTGTATTAACCCCTTAAAACCCACCTGGTCGCCGGCGGTTGTTATAGCGAGAGCACCTCCTACTGAACTATCTCCCAACAAACAATGGTGACAAATTGTATTAAATAAACTACAAATCCCAAACTTCTTACTGAGTCATACTTTTTACTTAGAGCTTATTGGTCCCTAAAGGGAACATTGTCATTAATTTAATTGTTTTTCTTTCAGGGACTATAACAGTATCAACCATCGGATCTTTGTGTTGCTCAAGGAAGCAATATATGCTCTAACCACAGGCAGCTCCAATCTGGTTCCTTAACCATAAGTTGTGGTCATTTCAAACTTCAAAAAAGAATAATAATAATATGGAAGTTTTGTTGTCATTGTAAAAAAAGTATAATAATATTTTGCCTGGCAGCATCTCTTCAACAGCTATTAGGACTGTTAAAAAGGAACTAACTCAAAAGCCACCTCCAAATTGTTTTTGTTTTTTTTCACGCTTCAAAACAAAAACAAGAAAGTGAGTAAAACTTTCACTTGTTGAAATAACCTAGAACTTAAAGATATAAGTTCTGGCAACTCACTAAATAATGTTAAAGATTACAATTACTTTGGGGTTAAGGTGCAGCTTAGGCTTTAACAAGAAGAAAGGTCAGTCATTCCAGCCCTTTGAAATCTCTTGGTGATCGTGATGTTTTCACACCGCTGTCAGAATCCGCTGGCAGATGTGGGGAAAACTTGCTTTTCGCATGCGACCGGAGGTGTCAAGTAGTACAAATACTTTGTCACTGTACTTAAGTACCCTTTTTACGTATCTATACTTTACTCCATTACTTATTCTTCTTCCTTCTTCTGACTTCTACTCATTACATTTTCACACAAGTATCTTTACTTTCTATTCCTTACATTTTTAAAACAAACGTTACTCGTTACTCTTGGCTTCAGTTTCATGTTTATAAATATTTATTTCCCGTCATGTGCTCCATCCAATGCAGATCATTGGCTCCATCCACATCTAGTGAAAACTAGTGTAATTGGATGAGTCATAGAACACAAACACTCATTGGTTAGCTAAAGGAAATCATCAGAAGCAAGCAGGTGTTCTTCAAACTGCTAACGTGAATTGTCTATGCTGTGCTACAATGTGGGATTCAGAAAAAGATGTTGAAATGTCTAAAAGGTCGGACACAGGCGAGAGCGTATCGTGAGATGGAGACCAACAAGACCTCCCTCATCCTTGGCCCTATCTCAAAGAATTTTTCTAAACAGTCCAAAAATTAAGCTTTTAATTCACATAGTGGCATCTGGCTGTTTTTTTTAAAGGTTACTTTATACTTTTATACTTTAAGTAGTTTTTGGAGCTCATACTTTTTCACTTTTACTTGAGTAAAGAGGTCAAGTTGATACTTCAACTTTTACCAGTGTTTTTAAACTGCAGTATCTATACTTCTATTGAAGTAACAAATGTGGGTAATTTTGACACCACTGCATGCGACCAGTTTTGGTGATATTCCACGCCTTCCACTGAACGCGTAGTGCTACTTTGAACACTCGATTCACACTGATGTGGAGGAGCTGCAGTTGCTTCTTTTTCGCACTAAATCATGCGGCACTACTTTACCTGATGGACGGACATGTCCATTCATTTCCTTGGATACTGTGTGTCTGATCACATGCCCCTCTGCCAGGCAAAGTAGTGCTGTACAACAGCGGAAAAAAAAACAAAACAAATCCTCTTACAGTATCACAAAAAATATATGAAAAATCCATAACAAACCTGATTTTTGTCTAATCTATTTACTTTCCGGATCGAAATTTGATGCAAAAATGGGTGCTTCGGATGATTAAATCCTTTTCCCGATCCAAAGCCATTCCTACAATTGGCAGCATTGCAACAGACCAGTGTAATGACGTTTTAATGATCCTTTCGGAGGGCTTAACAATGCATGAAATAGTGGTTCTATAAACCCGCCGGAGGACGTTTGACTACACTGACGTCACAGCTGGATTACGTCACACGACTGATATAGAGGCGCCCAGCATACTGTAAAATTCTCTTGATTTTATTACTTGGAGTATTTTTTAGCACAATTTAGACATAGAGAAAAGAAAGGATAATCTACCATCACACATGAGAAAACTGATCTAGATGAACTCCTTTCTATTTGAACTTTAAGAGTTAAACAGAGAGCAGGCAGAAGTCAGAAGAGAGCTGGAAAGAAAAGAAGAATGAGAGGAAAGAATACCGAGAAGACAGAATGACTAGATGGCACTAATAAACACTATTGATTGATACATTTTTATTAATCTTAGGAAATACTAACAGTAAGGTTCCTGGACTAACACATTTTTGGATTTTACACTTAAATTTTACTTTTTAAATATTAATACATATGTAAAAATAGATAAAATCATCACTGTCCCGGTTACCTATTTTATTTTGATGATATATTTTTCCTACCGAGCGACAACTGGTTTAAAAGACAATGAAAAGACGACATGATATATGTCCAAAAGTCTACATTTGGTTGAAAATTTCAGATAATTGAAAAGAGGTTGAAAACCCATCATTTCACATTGTTTTCTGGATGTGTAATTTCATTTTAACCACCAAAGTAATTTACCTGTACAATGTACTCTGTTTAATGAAAGAGGGAATTTTTAGAAGTGCTTAACCACATGTTAAACAGGGGTGCCAGTAATTGTGGCGGGCACTGTAGGCACTTTTCTTGACACTCATTTGATATAAGGTAATGTTACATCCCCAAGATGGAAGCTGTTTTGTTCTTGCATCCAATTAACACCTTGCTGTCTTTCTGGCTCCGCCTTTAAAACTGGCTGCTGCTTTCTGAGTCTCAGGCCAATCAAGATTACCTGAAGACTATTAAAGGCATGTGAAGCAGTACTTCAGGGTTTTTTGAGCCATTTGTCTGCCGTACCCTCTGGGTTAATTGTACTAAAGGGGCTGTTGAGATTGCGACCATGTAAACCTGTTTGGATGTTTTTTGTAGGGGAGAGCTGCCCTTTTGTTTAACCCCAGTTTTCTCCTGTTTATGTGTTGGTTAGGTAGGTTATTTTGTTAGTCAGGTAAGTCCACTTTTCTTTTTTCTTTAGGGTTGATTTGTTATTTATCTTGGCCCGGGCTCTCCCTGAAGCCTTTACTGTCTAAATTTATGTTGGTCCCTTACACCCCCTAGACTCAGCCAGGGGACGTACCAGGTGACATGGAAACTCAAGGTCACCTTACGTCGAACATAAAAACAGGCTTGTTAAATAGGGTGACCAAACGTCCGTATTTCCCAGGACATGTCCGTATTTCACGTCCTGTCCCGGGCGTCCCGGGTTTCTTTTAGAAAGTAAGGAAACGTCCTGATTTTTTAAATTACCTTCATTGGAGCATTAAATTTACAGGCACTAGGGCACTGCACACGGCGCTGCGTGTGACATACTGTAATCCCCGAGCCGCGTCAGTGCCGGCAGCCCTGTTCTTAATCAGAATATAGATTGCATGGCTGTCAGTACGCCAACAACATGCAAAAGCACAAATGTGTGTTTACCAATGATTTACAAAAGAGTTTCCCCGCTTTCAGACCAGGTCGAGACAAATGGGAGGCCTTGTGCACATATGTCTCGGTGTCCAATGGAGGTGCAAGGGATCTGAAAAGCCACCTGGACTCCGAAAGTAAAGATAGTCTATTGATATGTTTGTTCGTTTTTGATACATTTTGAATAATTTTTGCTACACAAGAGGTATTTTTTGTTAATTAGCTCATTTGTTAATTTATTTTTTCCAATAGCCTACAGAACAGAAATTATTTCCTTCATTGCTGAGGCTGAGTATCATCTGTTATTGGGAGTTGAGAGTTGTTGGTAACTTTTATTGTTAAGTGAGGGATGTTTAGATGAGACATTATTTCTTTCATTGTGATATTCAGTCATTACAGGTGTTGTTAAGCATTTTTTAATAAATACATTTTGAATAAAATTATCGTTTGTTATTGGAGTTATTGCTGTTGAGTTTTACTGAAAAGCATTTTTAATAAATCAACTGTAAATATCATGTTATTGTAGGATTACGTAGGCCTATGTTAAGTGAGTGCATGTCTGTGGCATATCTTTGCATGGGAACAGAGAACCCCCCACCCCCCCGCTCCAAGGTCCTGGTTTTACCAAATGAAAATATGGTCACCCTATGTTAAAAAATAAGAAAAAAAACTTATGAAGCCATCAAGCTCATAGTCATTCTTCTGTTCCCCTGTAAAGGGGGTTGCAATGATGGGTTCCCACTATCAACTCAGCCTCAACACCTTTACAGGGGAACAGAACACCTCGCCTGTTAAGCCAGTCCAACAATTCCCTCTAATTGGGGGGGTCCCCTTTCAGAGACATAGACAGGTATGGGGCATTGCAGGCTAACAAAGAAGCCAAACGACCCCCATTCCAAAGGGGTGGACCCATTCATCTGTTTCTATTTGCATGTTTTCTAAACAAAAACAAGGCTTTCTTGGGTTACTGTATAAAACCTGGAACTCAATGCTATTTCTGACATTTTGAATTGAAAAATCTTCCTGGATGGAAGAGAAACGTCTTCAAAATGGGAACAAAGTCCAGTGGATTGTTTTTTAAAATTTTTGAAACTTGCTTTTGACATTTTCACGCCCAAATTTTCTCACTGTTGGAAAAAAACAGCATGTCTTTTCTAACATTCTCAACAAACACAAGTTGAAAGAAAGAGTTGTTTGTTTGTGCTAGAAAGGTGCTACCTGTGAGCTGAGCGCTCGTACGTCTCGTGGGACGAGCAACCTGTTGGAGGCTTTTGGCGTCATCATGACAGAGACAAGCTCATCTAGGCTGTCATCCCCCGAACGTCCGTCTGTCATCAGCGTACTCTGAGACCCGTATTTTCTCAACACAGGAGAGCGAAGACTGATGGGGCTTAATGGGACTGCAGAGAGAGAAACAGCAAAATATTCTTCCCCACATTCATTTCACCACTGAATCTACTCTAATGTTGGTTTTTTATAAAATCATGAGCGAAATGTGTTGGTTTGACACAAATGATGTGATGGAGCAATAAAAGGCCTTTAACCTCGTTATGGAGAACAAATGATCATTTGAACATAGAAAAGAGAGAGTCAACATATTAAGGAAGGCAGCATTCTGACTATGGTCTCATTTATATTTTGGGCCAGCTAGTTATGCTAGTTGGATTAGCAAACTAGGCTATCATTTTTAACGTACAGAACATGAATATTTATTAAACTTGCATCATTATTTATATAAATCTGATAACATTTGTCGAAAAAAAATATTTTCAGAAATAATATTCTCAAGTACCCTTTTCCATTCTTTCATATTATATAAAGTTAAAAGGAAGCTAAACATGCTAACTAAAACCTCATTCATCTCTGTTTTTTTGGGACAGACTGGATTTATTTTTACAGTTAAATGATTTTTTAAAACTGTTTTCTTAGTCATACCATGTGGAATAGTGATTGATAGACTTTTTATGTATATTTGTCTATTTCTCCAAAGCTATGAACATGCTAAGTCTGTCTGGATTAAAAGAGCTACATTTATCTTAGTTAAAATGATTATATGAATCAGTTTATTTTTTATAAAATTCTTTCTTCCTTGTATATTTAAATACAACATTCGATCAAAGTAACATAAGTTTTTCTTATTTACATTGTTTGAAACATACATTTATTCATGGCATTTTTGTGGATGTCCATCTATCTGATAAATATGCTAACACTTGTTCTTGTCTTTAAGTGTAAATCTCACTAAAGATATTATTTATTATGTCAGTTTGACTTTCAGTTAAGTTAGCCTGAGTTGCTATCTTCTTATTATTCAACAGACAAGCTACTCTAAACTGTTAGCAATGCTATCTGGTACTTATTCTATCCGTTACTCTGAAGATATATTTAATTAATGTAATCGTTAAAAGCCTTGTAACCCTTAAGTATATTTTTCATTTGAACTATTTAACATTTTGATTTTCTTACTCATACACACATGGACAAAGTTTTTTTGTATTCCCTGTTTAATGAAAAAAAATGGTACAACGATCACAAAAATACTTTGGATTTACGATAATAAATAAGAATTATATTGAAAAGAACCAGTGAAAGTCAGACATGCTTTTCAAACATTATTCAAGAGAATGATTTTAAAAAAAACTCATGAAACAGGCTATGAATACATGAAGCACCTTTTGGCTGAGACACAATAAGCTGCACCTCCTCAGGGCTGCACTCCATGACCTCTGCTGCCTCGCTGAAAGTGACGCCCTCCAGGCTGATGTGGTTCAGGGATATCAGTCGCCCACCTGAGGGCAAAGGTCAACAGAAAGCATGCAGAGCACAGTCGTTGTCTTGATACACGTAGCCTTTTTACATCCATTTATCAAAGGTGTGAACAGATTTGATGATTAAGATTCAAACTTTGCAGCAAAATTACAACTAATGATAAAAAAGCACTTTTTTACTGCAGTTATTCAATGTGGGGTGAATATGTTTATTGTTATAGGCATGTACCTGGTCTGATGCGTCCATCTTTATCCGCTGGTCCTCCAGCCACAATGGAGGCAATAAAAATGCCCAAATCATAGCGGCCTACTGTGTCCTCTCCAACAATCACTATACCTGTGTTGGCACAAGTTACAGAGGAAGCTGAGAACATAAGTTTAGATAAACTATATGAAATGAGATGTTAAGAGTCTTTTTCCATCTGTTTAAATCTGAAAAACTGTTTCCTGTTTTGGTTTAATTGCGATTCACAAAATAATTAGTAGTTATTTAAGGTCTCATATTATATAACAATTAGTCCTCCTGAAAATGTTTTTGCCATTTTGCAAAATTTTTTGCAGAATTTTAAATTAGGCGTACAGCATTTATCTTCAAAATGAGCTGATTTAGCTTTCAATGCCCCTATCCTCCAGAAGGCCACACACACACTACCTGCTACTATGACAACCAGTGAGAGTTCATAATAATGGCGGCTAGGAGATTGGAATAATACAGAAGACCAGCATTTTTATTATCATTACACTGTCTCAAGCACAGCGCAGCGAAATTGACTGTCTGCATTTAACCCATCCCGTTGGGGAGCGATGGGTTGCCATTGTGCTCCCAGGGAGCAGAGTGGTGGTAAATGATCTTTGCTCAGGGATCCAGAGTGGCAGTCTGTGGGAGTGGGTTTCAAACTCATAACCTCAGGATTCCAATCTCTATGCTCTAACCACTAGGTCACCACTCCCTGACAAAGGCCGACCTTAACCATGGCCTGCTACAGCATAGGTGACAACACCCTATAACAGGAGCAGTCTGACCAGATAACAACTCATTGCCTTTCTTTTATTTTGTTATGAACAATAATATACAATTTTTATTCCCTTAAAATACGGTCAAAATCTTACTCTAATCATCTCAATACAAAGCACTGAGCTTTTCTTCTAAATACAGAACCATCCAAATTTTTCAAGGGACACCCTGGACTGTAAACTACCTTTCAATGAAAAATCTAAAAAGTACGGCAACATCTCACAGTTAGCCTGAGCTACTACAGCCTCTGCCTGCTGTGATGAACTAACCACAGTCATTTAAACCAAGCACAATCAGATTTACTGCAGAAATTCTGTGAAGAAAGGGAGGTTTGTGAAGCACAGAGAAGATTATCCGCCTTCAAAAACCACCCGCTTAACAAAACAGCTGAGGAAAGAAACGTTAGCTGCATTGCTAACGTGTTTATAGATGTAATACGGGCATACACTCTACGAGTTTTTGCCCTTTTCGGGCCGATTCTCAAGTCAGGCAAGAATTTTTTGGATCGGGCAGAGTTTCAGCCTCCTCGTAAGTCCTGGATCGCTCAGTATACAGGGGGTAACGAGGGGCAATTAGCCTCTCACAAGCATCTCCCGATCAAGAATGGTAAGGTTGGGAGAAACTAACACGTTTGAAACACAGTCGGACCTAGTAAGGTGTTTGTGATCAAATCCTGCTTTTGAAGCAGAGCGACGAGCCGATTTACCAGAACCTTGTGCACTGCATATGTGTAAATAAGGGAGTTCTTCTTAAGTCTTAAGCCTAACCCAGCACTGAGTGTGGCTTTTAGACGTGCAGTGTGAGCAGGTAGATCGCATCAGAGTGTCGGGTCGTACAGTGTGAGAACAAACATCCTGAGCTGTGAACTTTAAAACCCTACCGTGTGGTCATACAGTTTGAGCTGTAGCTGAGTACGATTGTAATTATTGTACAGTGCATGCTCAGCTTAAGCTGTCCGACACAGTAAAGTTATTCACCTGAGTGAAGTTGGCCCCCCCACCTTCATCAAATCAGACAAAATTAGTTCAAACGTTTGTGCTGGTTTGTGCAGCAAAAATTTTCGTTTGTGCCGCTATCGTTTTAAAGATATAAAGAGATATTTCTAGAGGTCATCAAAGGTCAACCAGCCCCCCCACCTTCTTCAAATCAGACGAAATAGGTGTCAATTAACTCAGCTCCGTTTGTGCAGCAAAAAAAGTCGTTTGTGCTGCTTTGGCTTTGAAGATATTAATGAAAATGTAAAGGTCAAAAGGTCAACCAGGCCCCCTCCTTTTTCAAATCAGACAAAATTAGTTCAAACGTTTGTGCTGGTTTGTGCAGCAAATATTTTCGTTTGTGCCGCTTTCAATTTTTTACAGTTTAAAATTATATAATCATAGGTTAGCAACTTATAATTTATATGAAATTCAGAGTTTCAGAATGAGCAAATGTTCACTGACCTTTGATGGCGTCTACAAACAATTAATATTAAAATTATCACAGCACAAAAAAGTTATTTATTTTAAAATATGCATTTTAAAATTTTTTATATATTTATTTTAAATATTTTATATTTAAAATTAATTTAAAAAATTTCATATTTTTGTATGGCAAAAATTTTCATTCGTACTGCTCTCATTATTTAATAATATTAATAATATTTTGTAGAGGTCATCAAAGGTCAGCTTTGATGACCTCTAGAAATATTTCTTTATATCTTTAAAATGGTAAAGACACAAACCAAAATTTTTGCTGCACAAACCAGCACAGACATTTGACACCAATTTTGTCTGATTTGAAGAAGGTGGGGGGGCCAACTTCACTCAGGTAAGTTATTCTCAGCTCCTACCTTTGGAGCTTTGTAAGGGACAGTTGGTATCAATCCACTCTTTATTTTAAGGTGTGTGGAGAAGCCTGCTTTTTCAGCACCAATGTTGTAAAAGCAATCCTCTTTGAATGTTCAGCACACAGATCTAAAACCTCTAAGATTTTCCTTGTAGATTTCAATGAAGGATACAATCCTATCACAGAGTCTTTAGGGCCTCAGATTAAAGCAGTAAAAAAATACTTCTGCTTTATTGATGGAGCTGCTGTGCTTTTGCTGTAAGCAAAGATGGCACCTGCTAGAGGGCGGGCTCAGATGGGGTAGGGCTTTTGCCCCATATGATGTCATAAAGGGCATGGTTTTTAAAAAGAGCATTTTGAGCATACATTATTTAAGAGGTCCAACAAGACAGTGAGAGAGGTAAAAGTTTTTTTTTTATTATTATTTCTGAACCTAATACAAAGGCTACAGGACACATATGACTGTTATAAATATTATATTAAATATTGCATAATATGGGAACTTGAAACAAACAACTATTTTAAAGAAAACCTTTTGAGTTACTATAACAATTTATATCCCTTTGAGATCAATTAAGTGTTTTTATACATTTTATTTAAATAAATGTCATAAAAAAAGAGAGATTTAGTTAACAGATTGCCCTTCGATGGACTGGCGACCTGTCCAGGGAGTACCCCGCCTCTCGCCCATTGACTGCTGGAGGCATCAGCGCCCCTCGCGACCCCACTCGGGACAAGCGTGTCAGATAATAGATGGATGGATGGATAGTTAACAGATTTTTAATTTATTTAGATTCATCTCCGGACCGGACTTTTCCTTTAAACGGGAGGAGTCTGGTCAGTGATTAAGAGTGGGAAATGATGGGTGATATCCTTACCCAAGCCTAGTTTTGGGTCCTTCTTTAACGAAACACATATGACTTCCCTTTCTGAAGACGTCCCCAGTTTG